CTTCTAGTTCTGAAATTTGTTCTTTTGAAGACTCTTCTATTTGTGCTGCTCTGAAAAGTACAGTTGTGATGTAACAAGGGGCTTCAGGCCACAGCTGAGCATTACAGAGTGCTTGCCTTCAGGCACTTCCCTTTTTAATCAAGAAAATCTTTTTTTGTTTGGTTTTTTGTTTTTACCAGCTGGTTTTGGAATGTAGGTGGAGTTCACTACTCCTGCACAGGGAAGGTCCACAGGCAAAGAGTTGGGAATAGCTCAGCCTTGTGAAAATCTAGTTACATTTCTTTGGCAAATAACAAGGGATATCTAACATGCACCTCTGACTGTTACGCCATTTTGTGCTGCTGACTTATCACCTATACCTGTACAAATAGATCTTAGTTCAGAAAACTCTTCAGACAGAGTTTTTGCTTAGTACTCTCCAAATAACCCCTCACAATATTTTAAATAATCCCTACAAACTGAGTTCTGTCATAGTTCAGCCTATGTATTTAATGGAAGTTGCATTTCCAGGAGGAACTAGCATTTTCAGACTCCAGCTCAAATTGTACATATGCTTTCAAATTGAGTTGTTAATTTTTAAAATCTTTCATTATATATTTTATAAAAAAACCTGTAACTCCTTTACCTTGTTGGGCTTACTTTTTCTACCACTCCAGAGTAATTGCATCACCCCTCATGGATGGGGTCATATAGTTAAAATGAGTGAGAAGCAGGAGTCTCTCAAGTTGTCTGGGTGGCTCTTGTTAGTTTTATGCATAAGGCTCAAATACTGCAAGCATGTTTTTTAGAGGAGCTAATTAAGTTCAAATATGTATAAGCTGGTGACTGATGATATGTAATAATTTTGGTTTTGATTAGCCCAGGCCTGGGCCTTTCTAGTACCTGGTATTTAATGAATGGGGAAAAAAGAGCAACAAGCCAAGGGGGCTGGAAGGTGAGCCTCCTGAATGACAGGAAGCACCTCACCAGGGAAATGGTATTTGTGAGGGGAAGGGGAATGTCAGGAAAAAAGGAGGAATGGTGTTTCTACTATTAAGTGTTTCTGGCATGTGTTGTTTCAGGAATCTCATCACACTGTCCTAGGAGATGCGTTCAAGGAGCGTTATGTAACAAAGCCTCACCAGAAATGCATCCGGTTTGATTGTTTTGAGAAAAAAAGCAAGATGCATTGCCAAAATACTAATTGCCAGCATGACTGGGGAATCATAGTGAAGTACAAGACATTTGATAATCTACCAGTGATCAAAATCAAAAGCTTTGTAGTAGAGAATGTTGAAACTGGGACACAAATGGATTTTCAGAAATGGAAAAATATTAATTTTTCTTTGAAGAACTTTGATGTTGAAGAAACATGCACCTGAACTCTGCATTTCAGTGTATGTATCACCCTACTGCACTAAGCTGAAATAATGGATGATCTATTTCCATGTATAAAAAATATTTATGCTGTCTGATACGCTAGGCCCCTCATCAGCACCTGGCTAGATTTAAAAAAAGCTAGTATGACCACTAAAAAAAAATCACTATCTAAAGAAATATTTCACTAGAATTTTTAATGTAAGCATGGACAAACATGTGCCTAAGCATCTAGATCTTAATCCTTGCTGCTATGAAGAAGCTGGTCTGAAAAAAACAAAATCAAGTTGAATGACTAACAAAACATCTAATTTAGTAGACAAGCCACAACTTCAAGCATTTCTGGGTGAATCAGAATCTTGTTTGTTACCAGTAACTTCTGGTTGGATTGTACCTCCATGCAGACAACATGGCTTATGCATACTGACTCTTTAAGCACTACCTCAGCTACTTTTAAAGCTTTTTAAAAATTACTTTGCATGCTCTAGGCATTTTGGTATATAGAAAATTAAGAGAAAATGTCCAGTAACTTTTCTGTAAGGAAGATATTGCATCTTTTAAATCCATCTTTAATAGAGAATGCTTCTGCAACAGTCTGAGAAAAGCAGTACAGTTTCACAGAGCCCTTCCTGGAGGAGGCATCTTCTGGATTAAAATGGTAGCACTGTTTTCTTGTATCACTGCATGTTTGTCAAGTTGCTCTTGCTGAAGTTGCAGAATGGACAGCTTTTTTTCTTGTATCACTGCATGTTTGTCAAGTTGCTCTTGCTGAAGTTGCAGAATGGACAGCTTTCTGTGTGTTGCTTAACTGAACAAGCCCCAAGGGGGACAAGGCAGTGCCCTGTAAGATGGGTGAAGGCTTCATTTAGATCGTGATTAGCATTTACCCTGATGTTCTGTCTCATTAATTGGCATCTGAACTATGTCAAGACTTGAGATATTAATTCTGTAGACTTCCTATCAGAGCTGATCTAGAACTGGAACAAAGTCTAGGCATTAGTGTGTTTAAATCCCTCCTGCCCACCGAGATCCCAGACTTCTCTCAGAAAAACAGACACTGCTACAGACACAGTTATGAAACATTTTAAAACTTGCATACTTTAAAGCACTTGTTTTTCTACGTATCTTCAATGAGCTTAATCTTCCACTATATCTGGAACCAAGATCACTTCATGCATTTGATAGTATAGTAAGGTACGGATGTAGAAGAATTATGTGTCTGAAACACTTTAAGTCCAAAGAAAACAAACCACCTTGAACAGGAACCTGAGTCCAAAAATTACTTAAACTACCTAAACCCTAGTCAGCGAGACTTGTGGTGTTCTTTTAAACAGTGTTATGTGGCATTAAAAGCAAAACAACTTTTTAAGCACTGCTTCATGTTCCACCCCAGTCCATGCCTTTTAGTGTGAAAGCTGTATGCACTGTACAGGAGCCTGAATCTCAGTCCTACAGTAACTGACTCTGAACTTAGTTTTTAGCTAGTAAATTTGCTGTTCTTATAGCTGCTTCCAAAAAGGAAACACAGAACAATGGATAAAGATGATTTATGGTTGGATAATGCCTCCCCTCCAAGAATACTAGGAACAAAGATTTTGAAAAAGGCTGGTTTAGCACTTTCAAATTAAAAGTACATGGAAATTCACAATCCTTGAGTATCAGTTTGCTGTGTGAAAGGGCCATCTACTTTGGGACTCTCAGCATAAAAAATAATCAGTCTTAAGTTTCACAGCTTATATTAATACATACTGGGAAGTTAAGGGATTTGAGGAGTTTTAGTCTTTTCCTATTGTTTGAACACAAGAATTGCAGACTAAAACAGCTCCACAGTTCAGCCTAAATGAGTGTAATAAAGGTTGATGAGTTAACACATTAGTAAGAATTCAACTTGATACAACAATTCTATCTTCAGTACACAGTGGAGATGGGAGACTGGGGAAGAACACCAGCACTTGTACTTGGCCTTTGAGAATATCTGAAATTTTTTTGCAATTGAACCCAAAGCTGCATATTTATTACTAAATAGTGCTGAAGATTATGACCATATTAACAGGTTTCTGTTAAGATGTTTCACAGAATCACAGAACAGCTGAGGTTGGGAGGGACCTCTAGAGGTCATCTTGTCACCTACAGCAGGTTGCCCAAGACCATGTTCAGACAGCATCTGAGCAACTCCAAGGATGGAGACACCACAGCCTCTCAGGGCAATCTCCTCCAGTCAGTGCTTGGTCACCGTCACAATAAAAATGTTCAGAGGGAGCCTCCTGTGTTGCAGTTTGTGCTTGTTGCTTCTTGCCCTGTCACCGGGCATCACTGAAAAGAGCCTGGCTGCATCTTCTTTGTGCCCTCCATTCAGATATTTGTACGAAAACAGTGGAGATGCCCCTGAGCCTTCTCTTCACTAGGCTAAACAGTCCTGGCTCTGTCAGCTTGTCTTCCTATGAGAGATGCTCCAGACCTTGTAACATCTTAGTGGGCCTCTGCTGGATTCGCTAGAGGAGCTCTGTTTGTTGTAATCAAGCAAGAATAGCCTGTTGCATGTACAGTGCAATCTCTATCCCCTCCTTAAGCCTCTTGACTTCTTTCAGAACCACATTCATTATTTTTTTTCCAGATGCAGCTGGAGCTGACTGCACTAAAAATACATTAGATTACTTTGAAAAAGTTTCTCCACTACGTTAATTGTTGTGGCAGTTGCTCTAAATGCAGTTAAGAGTAAGAATTAATACCATAACCTTGTTTATCTCTAAGTAAGAGGATATTTGTTATCACTAAAAAAATTCATGCGGTATTGTGGATTGGGCAGTCACTGACTTCAATGAATACATTAGTGTAATCGGTGGTTGCTAACTGACATAAAAATTGCTGACCAGGATCTTGAAATCGTGGTAAATTGTCTTCTTGAGGACACAAAACAGAGGGAAGTACATCACAGCAGTATTCTGTTGGGTTACAGAAGACTGCCAGTATCTGACAGTATGCATTCATCATGTCTCATGCAGATTATTCAAAGAAACAAGTATTAAAATATGAGAAGTCAAGACTTGTATGACTCTGCTCCTACAGGGACAATAACAAGAGTTTAAAGTCAAAGCTTTGTTCAGCAGCTCAGTCCTGAGGATAACATGACAAAAACCACCAAACTTCTTGAAAATAAATTTTATTTTATCCATTAGAAATATTATCCCCAATAAGTCCACCTTTCTACAAAGGCTTAGATTTTAAACACAGTTCACATTTTTTTTAAATTAATAAACAGCTAAATAATTAATTTCAGTATTAGATACAGATTCTGGTCAACTGAGTAAGAAAGCAAGCCAATATCAGGTAATCAGGAAGGAATAAAAATTATTTTTTATACTGTCAGTTAATTGTTGGACCACTGGTATGAGCATAGAACTTAACTTCAGAGTCAAACTAAATGGACCAAATACATGAAATCAGCACATGATCTTCAACAGTTACACAGATTCCAGCAGTATTTTAATGACTTTTGCACTGTATTCTAAGGTGAGTCAAGCCAACCACCATACAAAACAAATAATAAATGCTCTTTTCTTTAATTGGGCGTGTCCAGTTTCCTGATACACAGAATAATTCAGCATTGTAAACAAGCCTTCCTAATACAATCCACGAAAAAACTGTTCACTTTATGGTTCACACTTTCAAATTTATGATTACCTTAGTTTTATTGCGCTCACCAGAAGCAGGCTTGTACCTGGACGTTTTTGCTTAATGTTTTTTATTAGGATGCCATTTTACGGATCATGTAGTTCAGAATGCCGCCATTGTGGAAGTAAGTGAGCTCCACATCAGTGTCAAATCTCATGATGGCATGAAATGTTTTCCCAGTATCCAGCTGTTGGGGTCAAAGAAAGTCACTCAAGCAGCAGAACCTTCCATGTTACATGACATCATAGTAAAATAAGGACTATTAAGATAGTTTTGCCATCCTAATGATCTGTGATAGAAAGCTAAAATGAACAGGCATTGGACATCAGTATTTCCACACTAGACTACAGCCAGCTGCTTAAGAGGAAAGTGCTTTAAAACAAACTGTAACAAATACAGTATGGAGTCTCCTTGCATTGCATTTGCTGCCTCATTTAGATTTATTGTTGATACAAGCCTAGAGGCATGAAAGCTGACCATCCTTTCAAGTGGTTATACTAATTCTTGATGTTCTTTTACATAATTATTTTTCTGGCTTAGGTACAACAGCAATACTAATTTAATTAGCTTTCTTTGAGGCCTAGTGTTTAGGAATCAGAAAAGCACAAAGATAAATGCATAGTGAGTAAGACCATTGTGTTTTACTGAAGACTCCTCTAGTCAGGTAATTCCAGATGAATGCACAATGTTCATCTGTGACTGATAAGCTGACCAGCTCTTTGGGAATTGTACTTTCTTCATTTCAAGGCAGTTAATAAGGCACATGTAAACAACTATTATTAGACACTAATCCAGAGAGGCCACCTGCATTAAATGAACACGCAATAAGTAGATTGTTTTGCTAACTGCAGTAAAAAAGCAGACTTTGATGCTATTAAGTAAGTCAGTTTTACAGATGTTCGAGATGTTACAGATGTCTCAAGAATAAACCAATTTTTTATCGTAGATGCTAATATTTTTCAAAAAAGGGCACAGGTTTGGAGGCAAAGCTAGACAAAAAGCAGTCTTTCAAATACAGGGCCTGAAGTTTAACTAGATTTTATACTGGGTATGCTTAGACTTCACTTTGAATGCTGCTGTGTACAATATTCTGTCAGTTGAATTGTCAATGAATTATTTTAATTTTAAAACCATTTAAATAAATTAGTTTATTTAATTTAAATACTTACAGTCCACTTTCTATTGTGCTTCAAACATTTAACTGAGACAGAAAAAATTATAGTGGACTTTGAAAGACTGGTCCAAAATACAGGCCTGCTTTGTGCTAAGTAACACAGTTTGGGCATGCTGCTTTTATATCCCATCATAGCAAATACCTATTATAATGACTGTTTTTGTCCCCTTAACCATCTCAGTTCTTCTCCCTTCCTCAAGTGAGAGAAGCTTACTGCCATATGAAAGCACAGTGTTTGAAGAGACAGTTAATCATGAGTGAGATGACAGTGATTGAGAAAATTCAGCCCTTAGGTGTCTCATACCTTAATCTGGACATTCATCTGCGGTTTTAGTTTTTCAGGAATGATAATCGTGTAACGCTCCCGTCCAGTGAGTCCTAAAGTCCCAGCATCCTCTCCAGGTAAATACTGCAGAGGAATTACTCCCATCCCTACCAGGTTGCTTCGATGAATTCTCTCATAGCTTTCAGCAAGTACAGCCTTGACACCCTGGGAAATACACAACAGGTATAGTTATCTTGATGGTCCAGGATAGTCCTGTGCTCATAGGAAGGAAACTGGTATGTTTGTGGTCCCCTCCAATTCATTTACCAGTTACTGGTAGAGTCAGCAGGTCTGTCTGATGGTGGACTGTCCAGGATGACTTGATTATATGTTAACTTTCAAACATTTTTAAAAGAACTCTGTCAAAAAATTACACATGCTTTCTCAGGAATCCTGCATACTTCAATGTGCCTTATGTAGAGCACCACTAGTCATTTCTGTAACTCTTGCTAGTTCAGTGTTGCCCTCCTACACTACAAGTTCCAGGATCCAGTTTAATTAATTTCTGAATTTTTACATGTTAATACATTAAGACAAAAAAAAAAAAAATCACCAGTGGGGGGAAAAAAAACCCCCAAACTAAAAAACAAACCAAAACTACCACACACAAAGCCAAAAACTTAGACGAACATAATCTTAAACACCAAATCTCCTAAAACTTTGTTTAATAATACACACACTATTGCCTTCACAAATTCCACACCAAGAAAACTTGAATCAGAGTTCAGGCTAGTAAATAGTGTAGGACAGGACAGACAAAGAACAAAACAGATATTTCACTGTACATGGATTTCTATTAGGGTCCTATAACAATATTGCTAAGCATCCCTGCAATCTGCATGGTGAAGCCATGCTAAATATAATTTTCTCTGATACTGCTTTTCTCTTACACTTTCTATCTTCCCTGCTAAGTGAGCTGAAGGAGGCAGCTGGAAGCAGACCCAAGGTTTACTGGGTTATGGGAAGCAGAAGTAAAGAAACTGGCCTTTCTGGTGTAGCCTTGTGGATTTCTAGCTGAAAATTGGCCAAGGCTTCCAGTCTGAACAGGATCTATTAATGTTTAAATAGCTTCTGCAACTCTACTGTGGCTCTTGCAGGCAGGTAAGATTTCAAAATAGCTCTTGCTACCAAAAGTGAGAATGAGCTACCCAGGATGTTGGTCATAAGCTAGTCTTCCTGACAAATGAATGCACTTTTAAGCACTGTCCTCCTTCTAGTGTACTGTAGTCACTCACCAAGAGGAATGGTCCTTTAGCTGCCCAGTCTCTGGAACTTCCTGCACCATATTCCTTCCCAGCCAGCACAATCAGAGGATGGCCAGCCTGCTTGTATCTTTCTGCAGCATCAAACACGTCCAGCTGGAATGAAAGTGCCAAACACTTTATACACTTTTTGGGGGTGGAAACACAGTACCAGGGAAACAAGAAAAAAAGTGTTCCTACATAAACAGCTGAAGCCCACACTTTCTGCCAAGCAGCACTTTGAGGATATTAACCATACAGTGCTTTGTGGCTTCTAGGCTGATCTCACTCCCAGCACAAACCTGCACCTTCCACTACCACTTCTACAGTGGCTATACTCTCCACTGATATGCCTGATAGCATTACATAGGTATGTGTGACCTGCTTCCCTAGGTCAATAAAGCCCTGTCCCCTCATTAGCTTTACTTAAAACTCACTTAAGTAAATGACCTAAGCTGTAAGAAGGAAAGCCAGTACTAATGTACTTTACTGTCAGTGAGCCTCAGTTTAGAGCAGCATATGTACTTACAGTTTCCCCAGAAGGGAAATGGACAGTCTGAGGTCCTTGTTTATCAATAAATTTGTTCACCAAGCGAATGTTTGCAAATGTTCCTCTGGCCATGACAGCATCATTCCCTCTGCGGGAGCCATAAGAATTGAACTCTCGAGGAGTCAAGCTATTAAGGGAAAAGAAAACAAAGGAAAAAGGAAACTGCGTTTAGACTGAAGCACTTTGTACTTTAAAAAAACAAAAGTAATGAACTGGTGTTTCTGAGGCACGTATGTACATAGTTCCCATCATGGCAGTAGCATCCAGTTAGCTGATACTTCTACTTTTAAGATTTTTCTGAAGGAAAAAAAAAAAAAAATTAAAAAAATAGAGGTCTGCCTACAGCTTGGTCAAAGAAAGCAGCTTCCATAGTATTCTCATCCCTTGTCCTAGAAAACAGTATCTGATAGTGATGCAAGGATATAGTTCATGTTAGGTCAGAAGAGACAATACAATTCTTTTCTTAATAGCTGGCTACTGAAAATCTTCCTCATTATTTATATTACCATAGCATCTAGAACAAAGGTAGAGACACCACTGTGCTAAACATCTAAAAGGCAGAAAGAGCCCCTGCTGCAAATGAGAACTACAGAAGAAGTTTTTCATTTGCAAACAGAGATACGGGAATGAGGGGACACTCCAGCCTAACCAGTAAACAAAAAATGTGCTGAAATGTGACAAAAATTTGGACTATTTGCATTGGGCTACATCCAAACAGAAGCTATGACATGCCACATCTGTTTTGTTATGTGTGTAGGACTATTTAGATCTCAAAGTGACTGACTTTTGAGCCAAAGAGTTCAGAGCAGTTAGTTTTCAGTAGATCACACTGTTCTAATCGATTTCCTCTCCAGAATTATTAGGTATAGTGATTTTTTTTGTTTTTTTAAATAATGTCAGTGCTGTTCCTCAAAACACCACTGAAGTTGTAAGAAGTGCTAAACCAGAGAATAAAAATACTATATTATCAGTGAAGACTAAATAGGGCAACTCAGCAAGTCCTAGTCTTGCCTTAAGTTGAACCTAGAGTACTAAGCTGACAGGCTGGCCATAGAAAAAGACCAACATTTTACATCAGTTTGGACTCCAACCACAACAGTTTTGCCAGCTTTTGCACCTGTGCTGAAACCTAAACTTCTGGATATTCTGCAGCTCCTGATAGTCTAGATCTGTGAAATAGATGCACATGCTAGAAATGAGCATAAAACCAGTTTTTGGCATTAAGGACCATGATCATTTTGCTTCAATAGGGAGACAAATCCTTATTCCCTTATTTATGAATAGACTTACTACAAAAAATAGCCTGAAAGTTATCTTCTTCCTCTCTCTCCATACAAAGGTCTTCAGCTCTCCAGTGTAAGACAGGCATACTCTATGCAAGTTCTTACACTTGGTGAGAGCTGCTGAAACAGCAGAGAAAGAAATGCTCTTCTTTCTTATTTTATACATTCTCCAGGCATCCACCAAAGTATACAAGCGTATGTGAACAGACAGCAGATATGTGTGCCTGTGACATAGTATAGTGGTTGTGGCTTGTTTCCTCTTCCCAATTTATAACAAGAACAAGAAGTAGCACTTACCCTCTGCTGGTCAAATAACGGGCTGCAGGACTATTTCTTGCTATATTCCCAGCTGGAGATATGTGGTCAGTTGTCACAGAATCCCCAAAACTCAACAGGACGTAAGCATCTTCTATTGTTTTTGGGGTCTGAAGAGCCAAAGTCTAAATCATCATAAATACAAACAGAATAATTAAAATATGACACAGAACTGCTTTACCTTTCTCAAAAGTGCAAATTGCAAAATAAAGTCTCCCTTTTTATACAAGTTAGAAAAGAAACCCCAATCCTACAAAAATGTTTATTTTGTTCTTGAACAAAATATGATGTCCTGGCTGTCTGTCAGCAAGTTCATGCATGAAGGAAATAGATGAGGCAAAATATTAGCTGAGGCTTCCTATACTTCATGCAGGAATACAGATGAAAATCCAGTATTCCTAGACACCTGTATGCATTGAAATCTGCATTTTCTTTTAAATGGTTCTGAAATAGCAATCTGAACACTGAACTATTTGGTGTAAAATCCAGGCAGGCAGAATTGTGGGTTTTGTTTCCTGTCCTTTTCCCTCGCTTGCTTTGTGACTATTTAAAAATATTCCAGCTTAAAAGGAAAAGGAGACTTTTCAAAAGCCCTGAAGTGACAGGGAATCCTTACAATTTTCAGATTGACTCATGCCTTTGTATTCAAATAAATATAATAATTGAATAAATAATGAATACAATAATTGAATTAAGATTAATACAATTCTAACATTTCAGAACCAAGGCCTCAATAGGCTATGATGGATGCCCCCAGACCCCTTGGAGTTACTTTGCTTCATCTTTAACATCAGGCAAGGTCACTACACATTTGGCTTAATTAAAAGGGAAAGCATGCACGTACCAGACCATCAAAGAAAGGTGGAGACTTGATGTAAGTTGACTTGGGATTCCAAGTATATAGTTTATCTGAAGGAGCATCTAAGGCATTCCAAGATTTGTTTACTGTCTGAAAAACACAAACACATCCCATTGATTTCTAAGTTTTCAGAAGCAACTGAATTACTTCAGAATCCAGGTAAAACTACAAATTTGACTTCAGCAAAAGCCTTGTGTATTTCTTAAAACATTTTGGGAAATTCTTATGACAATATACATTGTGTTTGGGTTTTTTTTTTTTTTTAAATGATTCTACCCATTAAGGGAGTCAGGAAAACCCTTACTTCAGAAGGGCTGCTCATCCAGTTTTCTGACAATAACCTGTATTACGTACACAGATAACACTTGACAATTCTCAAGAGTATTTATCAGTAGTCTTAAGAAGCTTTCCTAGCTTTTTAAGGGTATTTTGTTTCAATACCTGAGAAAGGCTTGCAGGAAGACATTACCAAGTACAAGGTTTTTTTTCTGATGTGAATGCTATTAAGTAATGCAAATGAATTTTATGTCAGCTGAAAAAACCCAAACATCTGTGAAGCTCTATATCTCACTTTCTAATATCAGCCTGGGATGACTGTTTAAAATGTATCATCTATATGTTACATTAAAAATATCATTAAGGAGCAATTTTCAGGACATAACTTCCTGTAAGAACCAATTAATTAACCAGAAGCCATTTAAAAAAAAAAAAAAATCTCATTTGAATACTTGTCAGAACAGGAGCAACAGCAATAGAAGGAAACTGTTAATTTCATTATCAAGACCAGCTTATTCAACATCTCCAGAATAGCACAGTATATCAGTCAAACTACTGCCAGGGGATTAATTCACCTCTATTTTTTGGTAGACCTCCTTGAACATCCCAGGAATAACAAACTGACGTTCCACAGCCTGAATCTCATTTCTTGTGGGCCAGATATCTTTCAGGAAAATCTTCTTCCCCGAAGCATTTATTCCTGTAGAAAGCGGTATTGTTATGTTTATTGCATAAATTTTCCATTGAAAAAGGAAGAAAAAGTTTATTGTGGTGTCTTTTAGCTATATGTTCTTTCGAACCTCATCAATGTTCATGAGACACAGTTTATTTCGCCAACAAGGGTCTGACAGAAAAGGGCCTCACAGACTTGATGATGCCTGTACATACACCTTCTTTTGTGATTTCCAATGGCTTTCCAGAATAATTTATAGAATAATTTAGGTTGGAAAGGTTCTTTGAGGGTTGTCTAGCTGAACTACCTGCTCAAAAAAGTCTCCTAGGTCAGGTTGCTCATGAGAGACCTCTACCCAGCTTATAACCAAAAAGATGCCCCTGTGGAATCAGAATACTGGTCAGCCTTGACTTTCCCCTTTCTCCATCACACAGACTCCTTGTTGCTCTGTTTCTTAACAACTGTATGCTATGTATCCCAGAGGTATTCAGTCATTTGAAGCATCTCCCTAGGACAAATGTTTCTGAAGAGCTTAATTCCACCCAGTTTAGTTTATAAGCTATGAAAAGAAGCATCCTGACACCATCTTACCCAAAGGCTCTTTCTCAAAGTCGATCCGGATAGTCCCTGCAATTGCATAGGCTATTACCAGTGGTGGAGAGGCTAGGTAGTTAGCACGGGTGTTGGGATGGACACGCCCTTCGAAATTCCTATTGCCAGACAACACACCCACTGCTACGAGGTCCCCCTGCAAGAGAGAGTTTGAGACAAAGGTAGCTGAGGTGCTTGCAGACTCCAAACACCCAGCAGGTCTGCAGAACTGCACTGTGCTGCAACATCAATGACTGGGCACTCACAGAACTGTCTCCTTCCAAACAATCCAAAGCACTTCCCACAGAAAAGAGAATATAGACTGAATTTACCTCGCACACAGCTGAGAAGAGTCAGAGCACAGTGTAACACAGCTCAGAACAGCACACAACAGAGAACAACTTACCTAAATAAGATGCATAGGAAAAGCTGCATACCTGTGTGATGGCCTCAACAACAGACTCTGGTAGGGGTCCACTATTGCCAATACATGTCATACAGCCATAACCCACCACATCAAACCTAGACAGAGCACAAAAATCATCAGTGAACAAAAAGCTATCTTGCACCAAAACATCTAACCCCTTAGCAGTTGGCTAGGGTTCCTTTCAGAAGACGTATTGTTTTAACAAATGAATTGCTGCTGAAACAGAGTTTTTGAGAATGCTCAATTTTTATCATTGCAGTGACTGTGCGTGTGCACAGAATGAAAATCTGGGAAATGTGTTGTCTAGCAAGATGAACAATATAGTGTCATTTATGCTATTTTAAAACCATTACTCTTGAAAAATAACCCATTTTCCTGCTTAAGAACATGAGTCTTCAAGAAGCTACAGCAGGCAACGGCACTTCTCCCTCATTGGCACAAAGTCAGCCAGCACAACAGCAATATGTTAACATGCAGGATGATGCCGTAGAGCATGTGCCATGCTGTACAGAGAGAGAGTTATTCTACTGCATTGCTTGTTGCCAATGCTTTTAGTTAAGCAGTCATAGGACAACAGTAAGAAAAGGACTCTTACCCTAGTTGGGAAAGGTAACTCATAACTCCACTCTCCCTCAGATAGTAAGTGACAACCCCGCTTCCTGGGGACAGGCTAGTTTTAATGTATGGCTTCACTGTCAAACCAGCTTCAACAGCTTTCTTAGCAAGCAATCCTGAAAAATGCAAAGGATAGCTCCAGTTTTTCCTGGAAGTGGGACAGTTTGGTGGATCAACAAGTTAACAGAAGAATTGTTAAATAACTGGAAAACAGAAAAGGCTCCATTTCCTGCAACGAAATGGTACAGTGAGCCAACACCACTGATCTCAGAAGAACCAGCTAAAGCTCAAGGCTCCGTTGAACTGTACATCCAGTCTGCAATTTCCGCTCCACTGGAACATTGCTGGAAGTTGCATTCAATAAGATGCACTCACACTGGGGCAGCATGTAGACATTCAAAACTCAGATGGTTAAACAAACACTATTCCTAAGACAAGTGTCTCACAAAAAATGTGATGAAGAATTGTTAACTTCCCACTTATGGTGGTCTAATGCCCAGTGTTGAAATAACTGCCAACATATGACTTGCTGCCCTCAAGAGCAGATGGTTATGATAGCACCAGCTCTGGCCCTTGTTGTAAACAAGCTGTATCACAATGTACAACTTGTTGCAAGAGCGCTGTTTTACCACTCCTGGATTTGTAACATGCATAGAGACATTTTAGTGAAGTGTATGTGTTACCAGGAACATATTTATCCTGAATTTCTTCCTTTTACATGAATTGTACATACATAGATGAATGTTCAGAAAACAAGCCCCCTCCAGTCCTTTCCCGGGATAGACATAAAAGAAGCAGCAGCTATGCAAACTATGCAAAATTTCACATTCCCATGCCTCGTTCTCTCTCTCACACATCCACTTAGATAAGAAAACATACACCAGCTCTGCTTTGATCCAACACAGTCTCCAACAGGAAGACGTCATCAAATAGGTTTGTTTTTGCCAGCTGTTCAACAGCTCTGCTAGACATGACCTGGAGACCTCTACTTTTAAGTGTTGCATAAGGCGGCCTACACTGATAGCTTTGGACGCCTAGAGGTAGATATGTGAGCTTAAAAAAGCAGTCCTATTCCTGAAATTGCTGAGGCTCCTTAGCTGCCAGAGGAAGCTGTGGAAACTAGAGCTCTTGGCCATTTTTCAAAAGGTGACCATGAACAAATTATCACCCTAGGACCCGAGAGCCTGACAGCCTGTTTTAAAGTGGTGGCTTCTATTTTCCTACCAATGCCAGTTCTGAAAAGAATGCAAAGTCAAACTCTAAAAACTGGCAAAGAAATGCCAGAACTTAAGGTGTTTTGACCAACCTTAATCCAACACCTTTGTAAAGTCAGACTAGGCTGTCAAGGCTATTACAGCATACACTCACTACCCCTACAGACACACAGTCCCTGCACATCGTTTGGTGCACAGGATATACAGTGGTAGTTTGAAACAACTATTCATACTTTGGATTTCTTTTAGCTTGGTTACTTGGTGTGGGAGCACTGTATGTTTTATTTACTTTCACTTCAAACCCTACTCTGAAAGCCAAATTACCATGTTTCTTGTGGGTATCTCCGAGGTCTCAACACTGTAGTGTACAAACAGTTACCAGAGACTGACAATTACTTTTTCCCTCCTTGACAACATCAAAGCATAAGCACTGCAGTATGGACAGGCAGCAAAGGTTAAGAGTACTCACTAGATCCGAGTGCATACGTTGAGATCCTTAGGACTACATTCTTCAGGCTGCTATGCATTAAGTAGTAGTGAACGCGTTCAAAGTACCAACTTTACTTGTATCTACAGAGCATTCTACACTTTAAACCCATAGAGCTATTAAGCCAAGCAGGCTGAAAGATGAGCATCCCCACTGCCACAGAGAGATTTAAAAATGTATGCCATTAGCCTGGGAGCCAAACACTTGAGGAAACTATATCCTAAGCAGGTGGCACAACTGAGGGATACACCCACCTAGAAATATGGCAATAGGACAGAGCAAAGAGAGTCTGCCTGGAGAAAGCCTACTTCCTGATCCTTGGAAGAAAGAAATACAGCTCTATTTCTGTGATCATGATCAGGGTGGACTTGAGGAAAAAAGTATGCTGATTTGGCCATGCTGTCCAAGGGCAAGTGAATTGGGAGACTTTCTTCAATTCTGCTTCTCTCAAAGAGGTAAGAAATACAACAGGTGTCTCCTCCACTTCCCTTTCCACCCCACATCCAAGTTTAAGATGTTGTCCCTGTTGCTAGGAATTAAAAGACCTTTTGTGCCTGGGAAGAGGGTGAGCTGCCGGTACCGTAGAGTACTCAAAGAAAGATGCTAGCCCAAGAACAGGTGACAAATATCACATCAACAAACTAAACACGAAGTTATGGTTGTCAGAGGCTGTCCGCAGGCCAAGATCTTCCCAGCACCACACAGGAACAAAGGAGACAAATTATGTGACTCCAAACAGTAAATAATCCTCTCCACTCGAAGGCCCTTGCATTGCCCATTGCACATCCCTTCCAGCCTTTGTAGAAAGTAAGCCTGCATCCTCCTACAAGCAGTCTGACTAGGAAGCCCTAATGCAGCGATGATCTTGCAGTGACAGATAACGTCTATGTTTATGTTTGTGGATGAGAGAAAGAAATACATGAGCATGTAGCCAAGCACCTGGGAAAGAGGGCTGAACTGGGCTAGTACAGACTGAACCCTTTGAGCTGACTCTCTTCATTCATATTTAGTTGCTAGAAGCACACATTTGGCATGAGAAATTTTCTGCCCAGACTAGCCAGGTTAAAAACGAGCAATCTCCTGACCTGAAACTTAACACAACCAAACTGTTTTGTAGTATTTGAATGATGATAAACAAGAAAGTGGGGGATACAAAGCCTACCTCCAACCACTTCTTGGATGCAGTTAAGATATAAATGACAAGGCTCTGAAAGATGGCAATCCCTGAGAACACAATCTGCCTCCTCTACTCACCCCCACATGTCCTCAGACTCTTGCTCTAACAACTCGATACACCTCTAGCTAAGTGTGTGTTTTGTACTCTGCTACCAGATCAGAGCACCTTCAGACTTAAACCCACAGACCATTCTTCACTGTCCCTCTTCTTGTGGCTCTGACTTTTGATAGCCTTATATAACTCAGCTCTATATAACAGCTTCTGCGCATTTGCACAAGTGTCAGAACTGCTGGTTAATTCAGTCCCAGCTTGCCCTGTAGAGAAGACAGTTCAGAACAAATACATTTTCTTCAACCTGTGTTTCTAGCTACCATTTCCAGAATTCCTTCTGCTACCCTTAGGGACTAAGCTCAGTTTTAGCACTCCAAATGATAAAAACAGCGCTGTGCATGTAAAACTACATCGGTGTTGTATTTGTCTTCAGGACACACAGCCAGAGCCATAGAGAAAATACTGCACATGAAGCAAATAAACTTACCTGCTCCCAACATAACTGAGGGGTTACTGGTGTTTGTACAGCTTGTAATGGCAGCAATCACTACTGAACCATGAGCAAGCTCGAAGTCACAGCCCTCAAAATTAAATTTGACTATGCTGTTGTGTTGGTCTGGGGCAATTTGGAATCCCTTGAATCCTTGCTGTAAGAGGAGAAAGTATGAATCAAAAGGATGTGGTTAATATAAATATTTTGACTAGAAATTAGTATGGGCTGGGAATTTCATGAATGAAAAGCATCTGTCAGTCACATCCATGCTTACACTTTTAGGTCTGGTGGTGAAGGCTTGCATCTCTGGTCAAAGTGGCAGACAAAAATTATTTTTCTGGGGTCTATCCTATTCTCTGTTCACTGGTAAAAGGCAGCCTTTGCAGCAAAATGAATTTGTATTTTCTTTCTGCATGAATATATCTTTCTTCAGGTTGCTCAAATGCTTGTTGCCCCCATATGCTCCAGATTCCTGACCACGTAGTCTTGTTACACAATCTAGTCCTGAGATTTTAGCCATAACACACAAGATTTTTAAGCCATGAATATCAAACAGCGCAAAATTATACTAAGAGCTGACTTGAGAGGCCCGACAGTTGAAAAAAAAAAAAAAAAAAAAAGAGCAAGGTGGCACTGTTCACACCATGAAAAATTACACTTACAGATCTGAAAGCGTAAGGTCTTTTAATGGAGTTTGGAACATGTAACAAAACAAGAATTATTGGGAATTGCTGTAGTTTAAGTTTCTTGATTTACATCACTAGAGTTCTGTACTGCCTTTAACAAGAGCAGTTACCGTATCAGATAAGGATTCACAGTGATTTTGGAAACTTAAGTGTCTGGGCATATTAATTCAAATTAAAATCTTGTTCTTCTTTCAATGACCATTTTTGAGTGGACGATGTAGAAAGAAGTCTTTTTTTCCCTGTCTTTACCACCAACAAAGAGTCGTGGAGTCACGCAGTTCTGATCTGCTGAATAGATTCAGTACAGAAGGCAAAACTGTGTTGTGGAGCTCAGGGCACAACCTGCTTGGAAAGCTGAAAAGCTGGGTAGTTAGCCCAGAGCTCCGTGCAGAGGCTACTGAGTCCACTCTACTAACACCCATTGCAGCTAGTTCAGAAATCTCCAGTGTATGTCAAAACCATGTCAGGCCTAAGACTGATCTAAAACCGGAGAGAACTACTACTTCAATAGGACATGAACACCTTCATGCAGGAGAAGCATCACCCCAATTTTAAACCACCCATTGTTGATGTCATCTTCTAAACTGCATTCAAGCATCCTCATTTACTTTTCAATAGGCAAACAGACAACACACAAGTTAACCCCAGAATGTAGTTCCTGAACACTAGACAACTTTTAGCAGCGTGCATTAGTTTGTATGCCCAAAGGTTCCTAGTCCCTACCTTGGCTCCCAGACAAGTCTCAAAGTCCTCCTTCATATCTGACACAGCAACTTTGTCCTGAGGTCTTTTTGGTCCACTGCAGCAAGGCACGACAGTATGGAGATCCAACTCAACAACCTATTCAGTAAGAGGAACAGAGGGTGGTTCAGCACTGCATGACAAGTTGAAGCCAGTTAAGCCACTGGTATGCTTACCTCTGTTGTTGAACCAAGGCTGAGTCTGCACATCTTTATGTTTGTTTGCAGAAATTAAAGACACATGAGAATGGAAAGATCACAAAAAAAGGAACAGTTCTACTTTTAGACCCTGCCAGCTCCCAGGTATGGCTCTCAAAAGTACCCCAGTTACTGAAAACCCAATGTGTGACTAAAGCATCTAAACGCTAGAGATGATTTTGAGAATTATGTTCTTTCACATGCTAGCAGCAGGGTCCCCTTCAGAAAACAATGATGTGAAGAAATCCTGGTACTGGCATAAACCAAAGCAGGCTATTCCTCTTGGCCTTGGGGAAAACATTCAGTCTATTATGAAACAGAGATTATCATATTTTCCTATTCCTCATCCATGTTTCAACTTTGTTTATATAGTCTGTGCATCTTTCTGTATTTACTAAGGTTTTTAAGTAATCGTGCAAACCTGAACATAAGTGACAAGATAAATTCTTGCTGTAGAGAAAACCAGGAATATTCTTGAGTTTCCTGGACAAAGAGCAAGATCTTGATTTTCTTGCACAGAAAACAGCTTGTGTGGTCTGCGGTTACCACACAGAGCTTCTAAGTGTCCCGATTCACACAGTAAAATAAGTTGCTGGACAGAAGAAGGGTAAAACTGGGACAAGGCTTACACAGACAACATCCACACAACCTTCATACCTGTGTTTGAGTCTGGACTGGACTTCTCAAAACTACATGGATCAAACTGCAGAATCTGCACCAGCTAGAGCTCAATTGAGAGCCAATCTATACCTATGCCCAAGTTTCCACACCTGGAGAGCCAGCTGACTCATTCCACTGGGCCCTAAGTTAAGACAGCTGTGTGGACCAAGCCAAAGGATAAGGAGTTCCTTGACTATTTCTTAGTTTATGTGAAAAACAGATAATTGTCACATTAAAATAGGGAAAGGCATAAAGCAAGGAGCCAGAAGACAGGGTAGTTTCTAACCTGTGTGAAGTCTGGATCCTGAGAGGAGTTCTTGAAATCTCTTAGCATTCCCACAGCCTCAAGATACTTTTTTGTGTACGTAACTTTCTCTTTATCACGGCCTAGGGTGAAAGCCAGATATAGCAAAAACAAAATGCAAATGAAACTGAGGAACTACTATGTGACAGAAAAAGAAAAAATGCGTAACAGGCTATTTCACTGTTCACACTGTACATTGCACTACGAGACCCTTTCATCACAAGCATTAGAGACTCACTAGCAACAAAGGAATCGAGCAGACTTAGTGGCTTTTGCAGAACAAAAACTTAGGTTCCTGCTTCTGTCATCTGGACAAGCTAGGTTCAGGCAGGACTAAGCAAGCAGTTACCTGCAAAACAGTCTAAAATTCAGCTCTTCCTAAACACGCTAAGATGAAGAAACAGCCTGAATAAGCAAGTATGGATAAAAAACACACTCAAGCTCAGAAGGCTCCACCTGATTCAACCCCATTGCTGACTATACCATATAGACCTGGTCTCTTCTTAACTCACCAGTTTGTATCAGGTACCCAATGCTAATATCATCCACTGGGAAATAGGCAGCTGTTGCTCCATATTCTGGACACATATTGGCAATGGTGGCTCGGTCAGCAATTGACAGCTGGGCTACACCAGGACCAAAAAACTCCACGAATTTACCCACGACTCCAACTTGGCGAAGGTGCTGTTATAAAAATACAGTGCCTGTGTCATTGCTAGGTGTCAAATGGCCCAAGCATGTATGTTTTGAAATCCAGCTTTTGACTTCAGAGAAACCTTTTTTTGAAGGTTTCTATAGCCATTTGAAATGAGAAAGCTTTGGGAAACTAAATCACAAAGATGAGGAGACAGAGATGTAAGTTTCAATAATAAGGTACAACACAGGGATGTATTCCTTCTAAACTTGCTCTTCCTCTCCTTTAAACTAGAGTCTATCTTAGAACAATTGTATTTTTCTCAACATGACATTCTAAGGAGAGGAGAACAGTGTGGGGTCTTTAGCCAGCAAACCCAGGAAGATGGGGAAACAGGAAGAACCAACTGCACAAGTACATGCATCAAACTGTAAATGACTGAACACACACAACACCTGGATGAACTCATAAAAAAACATTGGCTTTCCCCATTTGGAGGTTCTCTAGAGACAGCATCCCATGATGAACATGTGTACCAGATTTCTGACCTCCAACAACATTAATGCTGACCCAGTAATATTCTTAATTCAGTCACAATCCACAGAGTGAATAAACATATTATGAATATATGATATGTGAGCCAAACACCTGCAGATCAAAGAAATCAGACTGCAGTGCTTACTGTCTGTTTTCAGGTTTTACATTACCTTATTTTAATTGGGGACTTCAAAAAAGTCATCATGTTTCTTTTGAGGCAGTAGAGAAACAAGATCCTTTTAAAAGTACTGGTGTTCCAAAACAGGTCTGCACATGAGGATGTGAACAGGCCATGAGATATCAGCTCTCTGTTCTACTTTGCCTGGCTTCTGGGAAACATATTTGCCTATCAAATTTGCATTTGTCCTTGGGCAGCTGATTCCAACCCACACAGAGCAATAAAGCTTAACAAAAGTCCATAATGACTACATGGAAGCACACACAGGGCTTCTAAGCATGCAGTACAGTAGCTCTGTCCGTCCTACAGAACATGCATAGCTTCCAGCAATAATGGCAAAACAGCAGACATGTTCATTACCTTGGTAATGGTGAGCACAATGTCAGTGGATGTTACCAATGGCTGAGGGTTTCCTAGCAGCTTATAGCCGACCACCTCAGGAAGCACCATGCTGATTGGCTGGCCCAACATCACTGCTTCTGCTTCAATACCACCAACACCTGTACGCAACAAGAGGATACAATTCAACTATTCAAGAGATAGTAACATGTCAAAGACAAACCCATGAAGTACAATTGACTGTTGATTACTCGATTTAAGGTGTGAAAGGGGAGAGAAGGCATACAGACAGAGGGCTTAGCCTTCTGCTAAGAGGCACTCCTCATCTTGCTTCAGTTTCTGCAAGGTTGTTTTTTTTAATTTCTTTCTGTTTCATACTTTCATCCTTGTTCCTCACCCACTGGACAGGATATTAGGCAAATCTAAGTAACTTACTCTGAGGATGCTTGGCTTTTACAGTGACAGATATTAAAGTTTTATTTAATGACTTAAACATGCAATGCATAAACAAAGAACGACTGACATGGCATTGAACATGGTGTGCTGTGAGTGAAATAAATGCAGACTATGACCACTGGTCACCAAACAAAAACTTAAAAGTTATTTTGAAGGAAGGAAAGATTATTACAGTCAAGAGTATAGACTGTTCTAAAGAGTACTAACAGAAAAGCTACTTGGTAAGACAGAACTATCTTCCTTACATCCATTAAGTTTCAACAGGGCTGGAACCTGTGCAGGTGGGAACCTTTGTGTAAGCACACCTTCAGTATTAGAGCAATGCAATTCAAGTGACTACTTCATTTTGCTAATAATGTAAAGTATCAAGATGTCAGTCCTATGCAATCTAAAAAACCCATGATGTTTACTAGCAATTTGGCATGAGGCAGCAGTTTTATAACTTCTTGCCTGTAGAAAGTCCCTCTCCTGTTTATCTTCCACTTTCAAACCTCCTTCAACTTTTTGTTTAGCTTAATTAATACTGAGCTAGAACAAATTGCCTGTAATAGTTGCTTATGTATGCCAAATCCCTACTCCTATGCTTTTTCCCACTTATCTAATAATGGTTCTGAAAAATAATTTCCAATTTATTTTATGCAAAATGATACACCTATGTTAATTAAAAAGGTAATTCTGTGACAGATCCAGTCATGTGACTCCTTTCACTAGGAGTTGAATAATGTTTAAATAGTCAAGTAGTCAACATGCCTGACAGGCTACCACAGACAGGCATGAAGCAAGTTCAGCATTACCAGCCACTAGCAAGAAAAGCTGGATCCAAGAGTGCACTTTGAGCACATATGGTACGGACTGTGCCCAGCCATACTTCTCAAATTCTGGAGAAACATGAGACTAAGTTTACAGACACACTCTTCCAAGCAGCTACTGGTGTTGCAACATCATCTAAATGATGGCTCCATGTGTAAGGTGTAGCCAAATATAGAATAAGAGAGACACCTCTTATTCCAAAGATGTCATGGTTTTAAATAAAGTGAACTTGTTTATATTTGTATTCCAAGTCAACCTCGATATAAAGTCTCAATCAACCAATACTGCTACAGTAGTATAGCTGGGGTAGAAGAAACATAATGTCCTACTTCTGTCACACGTGGTACTGAGAACTTGACAAGCATCTTTGTGAACAACTAGCAAATGCTGTTTAAAAACACAATGCCTTCTGTATTTGTACGATATTTATTTCAATAGGACTCCTATCATCATATCACAGGAAGATAAAAAGCTCAGCTGAAGTTTTTGCTACCATGTGTGGGATGATTGCAAATCCTTTCATTTCATACCTACCTAGTCAATAATTCAAACACTGCAGTTTGCCACTACAAGTGAAAAATTAATTATTTGTATTTATTTCTGTACAAGTATTCTGCAGACTACTGGTATTAGAACATAGTGCTTTTTTTCCACAATGGCCTCTCCTGCCATATTAACTGACTCAGATTCAACTTGCAGCATCTCCAGTCTAATAGAGCACTTGCAGTACTTTTTGATAAGGCAACACTTTGAAAGTACCTAAGTAACTAAGGAAACAAATAAATGGATGTTCAGTGATGCTTCAACTCCCTTGCCTTCCCAAACGACTAAGATACTTCCAGAAGACTTATTTAATATTTTCCTTGGCTGCTTCCTCGTGATTTAAATTCAGAATAAAAAAAGATATAAAAGGGGAAAAAACAAACAAACAAACAAAAAGAAACACCACATGCACCAGAAAACATCTGAGACTGTTATGAGAACAGAATGCCTAGCTACAAAGTCTTAAATAACTGTAAGAGACCTTATTAGGTTCCTTGAATTTGGGATTAGTCTGTGCACTGTGTCTGGCTGGCACGGAGATAACTTTTCTTTACAGCAGTCCATATAGTGCCATGTTTTAGATTTGTGACCAAACCAGTGTTGATAACACACCAATGTTTTAGCTATTGCTGAGCAGCGCTTACACAGTGTCAAGGTCTTTTCTGCTTCTCACTCTGTCCCTCAGCAAATAAGCTGAGGTGGGCAAGACACTGGGATGGGACACAGCCAGGACAGCTGACCCGAAGTGAACAAAGAGATATTCCATGCCATATAACATCACACTCAGCATTAAAACTGGGAGGTGGGGGGAATTTTTCCAAAGCAGCTGTTGCCCAGGGACTGGCTGGGCTTTGGTGTGCTGGTGGGACATGTGGTGACTGATTGTCTTTGCATCACTTGCTTTTATTTCCTGTTTTCTTTTTCCCCCCTTCACTTATTAAACTGTCTTTGTCTCAACCATGATTTTTTTTCTCGCATTTGCCCTTCCAATTCTCTTCCCCTACCCTGCTGGCAGGAGGAGTGAGTGACTGGGTGGGGGCTAACCTGCCAGCCAGGGTCAACTCGCCAGAGTCTGAAACTCAGCTTAGCCAAACAATAGACTATTCATGCTATGCTACTGCACATACCCCAGCCAAGCACTCCCAAGCCGTCTATCATGGTGGTGTGTGAGTCAGTGCCCACCACACTGTCTGGATAGTAGTAGCCATCCTGATCCATCACCACTCTTGCCAAGTACTCCAAGTTCACTTGGTGGATGATCCCAGAGCCTGGTGGAATAATCCTCATATTTTTAAAAGCCTGAGAGCCCCACTGGAATAGAAGGAATTGGAATAAAAATTTTTCAATACACATGAGCACTGGAAGAACTTTTGTTCATTGCACTCTTCTCCATGAAAATAGGATTAACTATTTCGGTACCTTTAAGAATTCAAACCTTTCTTTGTTCCTTTCAAATTCCAGGTCCTGATTTTTTTGCAAGCTGTCTGATCTGCAAGTGAAAATAATCAGCTGTCAGAACCAAAAGTATCCACCTGAAATTTATATCTGGTCAGATATACCCAAAGGTTGAAAGAAGAGTTATTAGCTAACATTAATACTGATCAATCTCATCTTTTTAATCTCACTGCAGCTGTGAACTGCAGGCAGCCAATGAAAAGGATTTAAGAAATCTTAAGAGATAATACCCGAAGTCTGGTGCTAATGTGAATGCTAACCTACATATTATATATGTGCCAGGCCTAAAACTTGTAGCTTGGGAAAAGGTGCCTCTACATGTTAGAGCAATGTGACGTTTCCAACACCTAAATCAGAAGCAATCAGCAAAGCAGTAAAGGGAACTGAAACACAACTGCCCTGCAACTTCAGTTAAAAAGAGGTTATCACTGATGATACAGTGCTGCCTGAAGTCCCTGTGTTTCAAAGTAGACAGGGCTAACAAACTTTTCGCTTGAATCAGCTGCATAACTTAGGCCTGAAGAGTTTGAAAGAACTGAAGCACAGGGCTGGCCAATGTTCTCTCCATATATACATAAGCCTAATAGAAATAAAATAAGGCTGTGACAAACAGTAATTATTAGCAAAAAATTATCAAAATGAAGTCCTGGATACTACTGATAATGTAAAATGAACGTTATTAAAATGATACAGAAAAAGAATCATAATAGTTGATTTCATCCTATGGTAAAGATGAAATCATACCTTGTTCACAAAGAAATACACTTTCCTAAAGATCTTAAAAGACGATGTGATGCAAATTCAAAAGAAAAAAGGTTAGACTTCTAGTCTAATAGATCAGTGCTAGAACACCTATTATCCCAGAGATCAGTCTTTAGATGATTATTTCTAATTTTGCGTCTGTTTTTAAACTCCTTAGTGTTAAGAATAGATACAGCATCTCTATAAAAAAAAGTTAAAGGAAGTTGATTTTCAACAGTTACATCAGTCAAAATTTTTTGGCCCTTTTTCTCCCCTGCCAGCTATGAAATGGCATCAGTGAGAATTTGTATCCTTACTAGTCTATAGTTAAAGAAAAGTAGGAAAAAGTTATATTTGAAAACTGTCTGGCAACATTCTTCTATGAAGCAGGCTTCACAACACATTTCTGCTCAGAAGTTCAGTCTTTTTATGCTAAAGACGACTCTAAATATTGGAATTGAGAGAGTGTTCCTTATGTTCTTTAATTTCCACCTTTATGAATTCTCTTCTTTGCAGTGCTATAACTTGAGTGGAAAAACTATCTCCTATAGAGGACAATAGATACACAGAATATTTTAGCAGGCTAAGTAACTGCAGACCAAAAAACTTTAGGAGTTTGGAAGATGGAAGGAAACCACCAAGGAACATGTAATTGCAGGATCTGTTTGGAAGAGTAGTTAAGATACCATGGAGGGTAGAAGGACCCCTATGCAGAGGTCTTGCATTTCATTGTGGGTCTAGTGAGTGCTAGTGAGTGCTCATCTCTTTGTAGCATGCTGAGGATTGAATAGCATTAAGTTTCTTTCCTGTACTTATAGGGGTCATATTAATCAGCGTCTTGCGCTCTTCTGCCTGGAGGCACTGAACTAGCAAACAGTTCCTCAGAGCTGGGCTAGGGCAGCTCAGGTCTATTCTTATATAAATAAGGAAGAAAGGAGACATTGTTGCTTGTCCTTTCCAAAAAGCCCTACAGGGTCAAAAAAGTACATGTGGAAAAAAGCTATTTCTGAACAACTAATAATAATGCAGTATTATTATGGAAAATTATGATCACCACAGGTCTGGACTGAGTCTGTTTCTATTAACAGGCTTGTGCTGCTAAGAGATGTACCAGAGAAAAAACAAAATTCCCCCATCTAATTCACAGCAACTGATACAACACTAACTTAAAAACTTCTTACTCTAAGATGTTATATTTCAAATGCTAAGAATATCACCAATGGAACTACCTTTATTATCAGTAACTGGATCCAGCTTCCTCACTACCATTAAGAAGTATGAGTTACTTTGTATCCTTACCGCCTGTTAAAATCAACCTGGATGGAGTGATCTATTACTAGATCAGCAGGACAGATAGGATTGATTTTTTCAGGGTCCCCACCAAGTTTTTTCACAGCATCACGCATTGCAGCAAAGTCAACCACAGCAGGTACCCCACTAAAACAGAAGAGAAATAGGCAAGGTGAAACAGTTTGGAAAAGAAAAAGACAACAAAACAAACACAGCCGAAATCCTGAGATGCAGAACAGACACCTACTGTCCCATACAAAGCAAACCACAGCCTTACCCTGAGTCTTGGGATCATTACTGTATGGCAGAGACAGTACCCTTGGGAAGACAAAGTCAGAAGAGCAGAAGGGACAGAACTGTATCTGTATCCTGAGCACTGTAAGAATGAAAAGCTAAAACCAAAATTCACCAAGTAACATAAGCAGTTTAAAATGCTTGGCTGGGAACCTGGAAACTCAGTCCTAGTCAGCACTCCTTTGGGACCTTGTACTGGTTTCTCTTCTCTTGCTCTGCTCCTCTCCCTCTTCCCCAATCTGTTTAAAAAAGAAGCAGGGAGGGGGAAAATGACAATGTCCTTTCTTTGATTCTTTGCTATGTTTATTTAGCTGATTTTAAAGCAAGGGTCCTATCTTCCAAGTTTTGCAAAGCACAGGAGAATCTTCTCCATAATTAGGGCTGTTTGGTCCCTTCCACACTTCAAGTGAAGCTGGCAGAGCAGGGCATCAGATTTCTTAAATTACAAAGGACCTGACTGCAAAAGACCTTTGCAAAATAACTGTATTTTCAGAAGTGGACTTAACTGCCCTGGCAGAGTGCTGCACAAACACAAAAGACAGAAATAAGGTGTACCATTCATCTTTACTAACAAATTCTTGTACTTGCCACTGACAAAAGACCTTATATCACAAATGACATTAAACCAGCACATTTTCAGGCTACGGGCTAACATTCACATTTCCGCCTTCTCACATGTCTTGTGACAATCCTACAACCCTTGAACTCCAAGTGACTCAGAAAAAAGTTAACAGGCCTTTTTCTCTATGTTTGTAAGTCTCATTTATCCAAAATGACTTTTAAATCGCTAAATTAAGCCTTCTTTCCTAAGTGAGGTAGATAAATGATACAGAGGGTCAAAGTAATGCACATGAGAGTCTTTCGTCCACCCTGCACTTCCAACCTAAGTTTAGTCATAAGCAAACAAGGAGTAGTAACCAGAAGTTCCAGCACTTCAACATCCATCTTACCTAATAGATCATACACATTTCCATATTTATTTTAAAAAAGCTTCTGGTGCTTCTCAGCACATGCATTCTCAGCTTCTACAGAGATATGTACTACCACGACATTTTTCAATCGGTTTGGGAAACACTCTTGCATACGAGCCTATCTGATTTTGCTGGCTGCTGAGACAAAAAGAGCTGTCTGTGATGTGTTTGTAAGGATCTGGCATCATTCAGTACCCCACTGAGAACAGTATGTTTCTGCAAGAGCAGCCCAATCAACTCTGATTACAAGGAAGCTATTACAATTTTAAAATATATCAGAAAGAATGCAAGAAGAATAGAAAAGGCTTTGTAATTTCCACAGAATTTTACCTTGAAAATCCTGAGTGTTTACAAAAACAAACAGAAGAAAGGGTCCACATTATCTAACCTTAACATGATTAACTGATGTTAAGCAGTTGAAGCAGTTGGTTGTCCCAGGATATGCATATTCCAAGGAAAACAGCAAATGCTATGTTATGCTACCTAGGTGGATTTGGTGGAGGGCAGGGATGGGAGGAAGGGAGTGGAGGAGTTTTTTGCCAGCTTACAAATGTTACACAATTGAAAAGAAACAGACACAACATCCATCTACAGTCCTAGAAGAACTCAGGATAATTACAGAATGATCAGATCTAGGAAATTTGATAATTCTAATCCAGGACATATGAATGTAATCGTTGTATAGCTTCTGGGAAGATGCCAAAGCTGCCTTTTCCAAAAGATCCCACTCAGAAGCCTGTTCAAGAGCTCATTTTTCACAAATGCAGCTGCTCTGCATGCAGACTTATAGGCAAATTTTTAAAACTCAGTAGGACAGTAGGGGGCAAGAAAGAAGTGCAGTAACAAAGGGAACAAAGTTTGCTTGAAAGTTTGGCTTCCTCTGTTCTCCAGCTTTTTTAAATGTTAACAACAGCCAGTGGGTAAAAAATAGCTAGGAAATCGGCATTTTTTTCAATTGAGGCTTTGCCAATTTTTCCTAATGTCTTTAGGTGTTGAGCTGTACTGGGTCCTTGGCACCTGGCTAACCTTTGGGAAAATGCAACATAAAAGGTAAGACAGCTAAGACATTTCACTGTTCTGAGAAATAAAATCAACTGACAGCTTAGCAGCATGGGGCTTACCATGGATGAACTAAACTCTCTTAGTAAGGAGGACAAAGGTACAAAGGACAGTGGACTTGTAAGTCAAATGCTGCATTAAAAACAGCTAGAAGCTACTCTTCCACCTGACTTGCCACATCTAGCAGGGACTATTACATACTGACACATGGGGACTAACCACGCTGCAATAACAAGGTCCAGTTTTCAGAGTCCATTAGGTAGGAATGTCAAAGGAATCTCAACTTGCACTTCCAGGAAAAAGTAGACATTCATTTTTTCAATAGCAGAGAAGTCTTTAAAAATATATTTGAAATAATATTGACTTGGAAGAGAAAATAATGATGTGGGTTATAAATGAGAATTGAAAAAGGTAGAATATTGAAAGCAAGAACCCCAGGGTGGGCAAGGAAGAGACACCCCTCCGCCCCAAACAACAACAACAGAACCTCTAAACTCCTAATTCCCTAATTTGGATGCAATTTATCCATCCCATTTTCTTCCCCTCTGTTTTGAAGAGTTTCATACAGATATTTATTTCTCCATCCCAGAAGTACTTAATTTAATGCTTTTATCATGAGTGTTTGCTTCTCCAAGTGTTGTCCGCAGCATGGCATCCAGGAAAGCTGAAAAGGGTCTTTCCAAACATTTCACTCCTATTCTCTCCCTCAGTTCACCCCTCCACCCCAAGCTGAGCTTTGCTGCGCTTTCAAAAACCCCTCTTCCTAGCTTTGGAGAGCATCAGACTCACGTGAAGTCTTGCAGAATAACTCTTGCAGGCTTAAACGGCACTTCAACATTCTTGTGTTGCACCACTTTCCAGTTGAGAATATTCTCAACATCTCCCTTCTTCACTAGGAACTCATCACAGTTACGGATTGCTGCTTCCAAGAGCACTCGAATAGAAAATGGCAGGCGTGCTGCATGGGTAAGAGACAAGAAACAAATTCTGTTTTTACCTTAGGGCATATGTCAGCAAGTGCAGAGTTCCATGCTTGGGGCAAGATGGGTCCTCGAGTGCTGTTCCTATATTCTCACAAGGCTTTAGCCCAAAATATCAGCCCAATTTCTAGCCTCCAGCTTTGTCAGGAGGTCAGTGCTAACTGACCTGTTCCCCTCAATTCTTTGAGCAGATTTATTATCTCAGTCCCTGTGAGAGAGTAGACATCTTTTCTGAAAGGACTGTTTTCCACAGTTCTTCCATCCTCCACAGCAACACTACTCTGAAAACATTCTGGGCTCACCTTGTTTCTCTGCAGTTTCTTCTCACTCTTGCCACTGAACAGAGTCATATAAATGCACTAGGAAAACATAACTTTCTACCTGCTATGCTAGAAAGCATAGCTTTAGTGGTCTAGGCAGTCTCTTCTTCTCCAGAGATGGAGAATGAAACTGAACAGCAGTAAAACCATGCATCTGCTAATCTTTTTTTACTTCAAGATAGAAATACTTATAGAAGATGATACAAAATATTATTAGAGCAGTCCTGCAGCTTTACTACAAGCAGTGGGTGTGAAGGAAAAAAAATAGAAGTTTCTCTGTCCTTCCTTTCCTGGTCCATTGTAATAATAGCCATTTGATTTCCTCTCAGAATATTTACATGCAAAAATCTCTTGACAGGTTTGCCCCAACTTTCTACACAGGGCCCCCAAGACACAAAAGTCACTTAATCTCAGTGAGACCTCATTACTACTATCATAAAAAAAACCCCAACTATTATTCAGGAGACAGTAATTCAGAAAAATTTGGGGGTTTTGGTTGTTGTTTGTTGTTTTATTTGTTGTTAGTTTTTGTTCTTTTAACACACCCGCCTCCCCCCCAGCCCTGTTCTTCTGTTGCTAACTTATTCCATTTTTCTGCTGAATAGTGAGAATTGCATCCTTTTTTCTTTAGAGAATATGGAGTTTATCACTCTTGGAATCCTGGCATGGATCAACTGGTAATACCATACAGGTATGTGTCTATTTCTGAAGACTCATCTTTGCTTTTCACACACCAAGTCCCACATTAATTGACTTCTCATATACACTCTAGCTGAGCCTGCAATGGATATGTGTTCCTGCCATTCAGAGGAATGTTTGTTCCTCCCCTTGCTTTCTCAATTCTCCTTCATCACCTGTTTCCTTTTTGAAAGAGCAAAAATACCCAACATGGACAGCTCTAAGCTATAGATATTCACTTTCTAAGTAAGTGGCACAGACTGTACGATTTTTACCAGTGCCACATGGAAGATGCCTAAGTACATTCAGGAAGTGTCAGAAGAACTAAAGAAAAAGCCTCCTCAGAAAGGATTTTCTTTCAGATTTTCTTTCTTTTGAAAAGAGTCACTACTCTTTTTAAAGCTGAACCACCTTTCTGGATGACTCAGTTGTATCAGTGTTAGGTCCTTTCCAGCCTTTCACAGTAGCATAGCAGTATATGAGAAAACTTGTGCTCTTAGTTTTGCCTAGTCCTCCTCATCCACTCAAGACTGCTGTGTCCACAGCATGTTGAGAAAATAATACTGTGATCTTGCCAGTTCTAAATTTCCAGAATAAAATTTTGCTGAAAATTTGTTTTTAATAGTCTTTTGAATTCATAGTTCTCTCCAGAGACCTAGTATCATCCAACATTGCAATGTCTCTTCAGGTTTTGTTCATCACTGTTAACAAAATGCTTTCCTTATGTTGTCAACATACCATATCTCACATCTTCCAATTTGCTCAGATTAAAGAACTTCTTCAGAGGCTGTTTAGGGTCAAGTGGCTCCACAATCCGTACAAAAGGGTTGCTCATGGTTATTCAAGACCCTTAGCGTCCCTAAAACACAAAAGAAAAATCAAAGCCATTTTCACATCTGTCCCACATACAAAGTACATGTCCCACAGTCGCACAATGAATCTGTCCCACTCACAGTGCCTGTACCAGACAAAAAGGTACTGCACAATCTGTGTTAGTCATGCCCTTTCACCTACAAATCTACTTGTAACACGTCCTCAGAAATAAAAGGTCTGCAGAAAGATAAGAGCATTGTGAAAAATATGGATACGCCATGTGGTTTACAAAGGAAGTTCATTGTCTTCAGTATTCTTCTCTTTATGCTGCTCTTGACAGCCTTTTACGTCTCTGTGATCCATGAACCACCATGACAACGTGGTCCTATTTCTTAAGGGGCATTGGTCTAAAGCTAAACAGACAGGCATTTGCATTCACAATTAAAAACAATTAACTAAAACAGTAAACATGATAGTGTTACTTGAGCCAGAAAGTGTTACAGACTAAGATTACAAACCCTGACTACCAGAGACACAAGGAACCCTCCTGATTTCAGAAAGATCTGTTACAATCGCCACCAAAAAAAAAAAATCTAAAGTGCATTCTATTGTAAACATCATTTTAGTTTCAGATCTTTTCTTTTTTGTGGCTATCCTAATGGTTTACTGGATAGAGCATCCCACTGGGACCTAGGACTTTTAGGGTTCGCTTATACAAGTTAAAGTACCCCGAGATACTCCCAATATCAAGGCCAACTAGCATAGAGGGGTCTAAATTAGCTCTAGAAATACCTCTTAATCTCTAGAAAAGATTAACTGCACGCAAACTGTCTAATGGAACAGTTCCTAGGACACTCTTAAGACCTGAACTCTGCCCAGGGCTCTTTTGAGAGCACTGGCTTAGGCCAACGCATGCCAAGGAACAAGCTAATGATTTAACAGTAAGGACAATTCTCTTCCAGTTTCTGGCAACACTCCCAGTAATGATTAAAATTTTTTTAGAAGAGAGATAATCACAGGCCTGATTTCCACATCTGTTGTTGTTTTCCCACGGCACTGTTCCTGTCTTCATTCAAGTAACATTATTCTTCCTTGCCCCAGTTTTTCAAACAAACAAACAAAAAAAAAAAAAAACCAGGGTATTAGATGCACATCCTTTGACAGGCCTTGAAGACTGTTTGGTGCAAAGGGATGCACACAGTCCAGCATTTGGTAAAAACAGTTAATACAAGGCCAAAGAGTGAATTAATTTATCTCACCTGTTAGTCTCATCGACTGTTCAGGGAATACTATTATGTGGAATACATGTATGGGGGATTTTTAAAGTATTCCATCACAAATCACATTTCACATATTTTGAAGACCACCACCAAGCTAGAGGTTAGATTGAGATGGAGAGGTAGCAGAAATGGTGACAAAGCAAGGTCCACTCTGTAAAGCAGCAAGATACTGTAAAAGAAAGAAAAATTTCCAGAATTCTGTCAAACAAAACAACGGAAGTTTCTAGATAAAAAGCTGAATGCCCGGGGAAGGCAGAACGGTAGGCAAATGAGCAGACTGCAAACACCACCACCCCCTCCAAACATATCACCTCTCACATTCCCATCTACAAGTTATTTTCTGAGATTCTTCTTCCAGCTTTGCAGCCCACACACAAGCCCATCAAGTTTTAGGTGTCATCTTCTTTAAACAGCATGAACTACTCCGCTATTCCTCTTCTAAGCAAACCCTATGTGTCTATGATTGAGCATGACCAGAATAAACTGCTTCCTTCTTCTCCTTGCCAGCTATATTCCTGATAAGCTTTATTTACTGCCTTCCAAGCTGACAACTTTATTTTATGCATATCCACTTCTCATGGAAAAGTCTAAGGGTAGCTGAAGACAGAAAACGCTGGGATATCCCCCGACAGATAGAGCAGAAGATCATTACTTTGATATTACCATAAGTCCACTGTACTCATATTACCATAAGTCCACTGTATTCAGTTCACTTATTGTCATGTAAGTATAAACTGCAGCTGTAGTATTTCCCATCCAAGTCACTGTCTTGGCAAACTGCAGCAGCAGTTCAAGATGCTATGTCACATTATCTGCTTGTTACCATTTCTTTGCCAGACATCACCCTCTCCCCTGAACACAGCTTTTTCTAGTTCACAGTATGAGATATTTGAGTACAAGCCTGCTTTCATCAGTGCATTACACAAATACGCCAAACTGTGGGGTGACCAAGGCCTAAACACATGTTCTATTCACCTGCCTGGTGAACAACTCTGTTACAATCTTGTAGCCATTTAGAAACCCCCACAAAGAGATAAAGTATCTAGAAAAAATACCAACTTGCAGCATTGCTGTAGCAAATTTCAGAGAGCCAGAGAAGCCTCAGTCATACCAACAACTATTTCCAGACAGTAAATTATAAACCAAGTGGCCTCAGCACACAACTCAAGCTAGCGATCCGCCAGAAAGATGTGAGGGAGCAATACTCTGCAGACTGAGTACACCAAAATTTCTTAAGTAATCACTGCAATAGATACAGATTAACTTGCGATTGCAGCACAGAATATTTATTCATGTTTTGCAGGCACTGAAATGTAAATATGCAAACAGGCTAGCACGCAGGGGAGCCGACATCTGGCTGCCTGGGATTGGTGCGGTGCGCAGGGTGACATGCATTGACCATGGCCAGTGCATCATGACCACAGTAATAGCTGATCACACGTAACAAAGAAAGCACTTGATCTTCTGCCTAACAACCTCAAAACTGTTTGCGTGGAGGTCACATCTGAAATGGGGTTCCACAGAGTGACCCTCAGGAAAACAGAAGTACAGACTAAGAGGTTTCTAACAGTAACAGCCACCAGCCACCCACACAAACGATGCTCATCCTGGCTTTGGAAAACAGCCCAAGCTATTCCTCCTCTCCAATTATCCAGACACACGTTCTTTAGTGTTTGTGCAATTCTGGACATAGCCCTAGGACTCCAGGGGTTTCAGCTGACTGGAATCTATGAAAATGGTTCAACTGGGGAGTTAAAGAAGAAAAAAAAAAAAAAGAAAAAACCCAACAGAATCTCATTACTTGAACCTTCTCAAAGGGTTGCATGACTTGTATAAAGCATTATCAGACAAACAATATTTTTAGCCCTTCCTGTTCCTACTAATACAATTCTGTGAACACTGATAACCTGGCTTATACTAATGCTGATCATCTTTAAACCTATACTCCCTAACTATCAATATTGTTTTCCACTCACCTTGTTACATCAATGTAGTTGCTTAGCACTGTGCCACCTAGCTCCATCTCTTACCAGAGTATGCCTCGAATTCACCCACAGACTGCATATCAGCTCATCACAGAAAATCCGATTTCTGGCTATTCTCTTTTTCACTTCACCTGCATTGAGTGGGTCAGTGAACTGGGCTTTTATGATGAGAGCTCCGATGTTTTACTAGCAACAAAAGATCAGTGCAAAAATACCTACTGGCTGTACTGTGTGTGGATCTCTCTGGCAGCCTGAAGACCACACCATTTGAAGATCACTACATAGGAAGTATACACAAGCCCAAGGAACAGAAGGAAAAAGGTATCTGTACCCTCCTCTTTCCTTGTCTTCTCTTAAAATTTAATCAACTAAATAAAATACACTCAAAGCATATTAAAGTCTCATGCTGATCTCCACAAAAAAGATTAAAGAACGTAACTTAAAATAACTTTTTTTAAAAAAAAGAACGTTCATAGAAGATTTAAACATATGTTGCATGTGTTGATTTCAAATCTTAAATTGATGCAACTTTTCTGAGTATCCAACATGAACACAGTACTAGTCACATCACAACACCTTCTATTGGAAGAGGACTCAGTTCAGTAACTGAGGTATTATTTAAAGCATGTTCTTGATTTACTGTGGGTCCTGGATTCTACTTCAGACCCCTTTAAAAGCAGCAGCGTGACTTGGAACAATTTCAACAAGCTGAAATTTTACTGAAATTAATGGAATTGAGAAAGCATCCTGATATATCCTGTAGTTTTTGCACTTGCAGAAAATATCTTGCATGATTACCTCATCACCTGTAGAGATGGAAAAGGTGTGCTGTTTAGCCTCCCACTATACCCAAGAGAGAATCTGAAGACACTAGAGCTGTTCTAAGCATCACTTTAGCCTATTATTCTACTCTGTTTAGAACTGCAGGAGAGACTGAAGGTGAAAATTAATACAGCTAATCAGGCTAAAAGCAACCATCTGTTTCACACCACTAAAAAAAACCTTTTTTTTTTTTTTAATAAAGATAACTGCTCTTATCTTCATTTGTTGTACCAGATCAATACCAGCAACAACGCTGTTTTGGGGTTTTTTTAGGGATCTCAGGGGAGCCCACTCATCTCTTACTACCCAGAATAAGAGATAACCTTAGCGCATGGAGTAGTTTTCTGCTAAAATACATGCTGACAGTAAATCATGCTCTTTCTGTAGTACATGACATGAGTCTTGACAAAAGACTCCTGATTAGTAATAATAACATTTACTACCGAAGTGCCTGATGACAAACCAAGGACACAGATTTATTCTGTTTGACCTGCAGAAAGAACAAAAAAAGAAAAAAAGCCTCTGGATGAGAAAACTTCTGTCTACGCTTCATGCCATAAAGTAGGAACAGAACCGGCAGAGTCATTCAGCTTTTAAGTAGAGATACAGTAATCTCACTCCGGGGAAGGGAACATGCCTCCATCACTGCCTTTTCTATTCCATCTTTGGTTTCTTAGTTGCTGTCTATGCAAGGATGCCTACGTTATTAACAGGAAGAGTTCATTTTAAGCATCTATTCATAAAACTAAACACCTAATAGCTTGACTAAAACAGATTTCAAGTAGTAAAAGCTCTTTTTCCTGTAGAGTGGGTAAACCCTCAGCCACCAATGGGAAGCACACACTCAGCAAAGGAGCAGTTTAATTTGAACACTCTACCAGATGCTAGAAATGCTAGAAAAGGTTACACTCAGACAAAGTAAAGATGGTATTTTATCAGCCACCAAGAAAAAGAGGGAAG